CGTTATCATTATTAATTATAATGGATTTAAACTTTTACCATGGCACATCTAATATGTTGACACGGAATAAAAGATTTATTATTTCAAAAAAAGAAATCCATAAAATTAGGATGTTTAATGGAATGCTCCAGTTTATGTTAAAACTGGAGCATTCCATTAATTTTTATATGGAAACCCAAAATAAACTGTCATTGTAGAAACGATAAAATGTAAATTCATAAAATTTTCACTTCAGCTAAAGAATTGTATTTCTTTATGAGACAAAAACTATTGGATCAAGGAATATTAATAATCAAGTGCTCTATTTGCATAAACGAAGATTGCTAGGTTAATAGTCAAAATGTACATGTGCCTAGGAGGAGACGGTGTGGAATCTCTATATTAGATGGAGATTAGCTAATATTTTCCGAAGAAAAGAATTACACTTGGGTTAATTTTCTTATGTCAACCAATCATGCACCGATTTTCTTCCGAAATTAAATTAAAGCATTACATGTGTAACATTAGTCATCCACTTCAATTAATTAAAAAGACATGTAATGTATACGGGTATTACTCTTTTTACATACAGTGGTAGATATCGTAACAAATATATTAGTCGATATCCGATACCTCGGAATAACGATAACGATAAAGTCAGGTTAATTATTAGAAAATCTCTGTTTCACAGGATGCTATAAATGTAAAATAATGCGATCACTTTAGTTTCAAGATTCGTTCATTAAAGCGTGTTTATTAATTCAGTTCTAATGAAAAAAATTCATGTATCTTTCTTTAACGAGAAAGCACATTATGACAACGTAATACAGATCTAACGGAAAAGATTCAATTCGTTATACCAATTCAGACATGTTTCCGAAAGTATATCCGAATGTTTGACATCTAACATTGTTAAATAGAGAACGTACTTTCTCTAGATGGAATAACTTGATCCGTGCATCTGACTTAATTGACAAGTTTATTTGCAAAAAAAATAAGTATAAATAAGATTAAGATTCATTTAAACAAACCTTATATTTGTCACGATCCATACCTGCAATACATTCTTTTACTTTATTTACCCTATTTACCTTATTTCGACAATTTTACTATTTCAACAAATTTATCCTGTTTTTGACAAATGGGAAATATGATTATTTCTGGATTTAAGCATAAAAAAGCCTCCAAACAACAAAAGGACCAAAAAAAACCGTCAAGTATCAACGAATTAAGTAAACCATCATGCGATAAACCCATATTTATGTCTATATTTCGCAACACCACTGGATATAAAGATGATGTATGGTTACTTTTTGTTGTTTTATATCGACGGATTTGCGTTGCGATACTATCACTGGCTAAAAATGACATGCACCATGGATTCTATGAAAGTCGATAGTAAATTCACTACGAAAATCCGCCGATAGAGATATGTAACACATGTTCGAGAAACTGTTGAATTTAAGCAATTTGTTTTATAGCCAAATGAAGAAATCGATAGACTTCATTCACAACACTACCTTTATCGGCATGCCTGGAAGGTGTGAGAATAAATTTTCTCGGCGTTCTTACAACTTTATGTATTTTATTAATCTAAACTAAGTGTTTAAATTTAAGGGTAATTTTTCTGCGCCGATACACGAAAGATTAATAGAAGGCATATATGTGCTTGATGTTGGGTAAATACAAAAATCGCAGACTATTGCTCTTCAAATTCCACTCAATTCACTTAATTTATGATTTTAGGTGTGGGCCTGGAACTTGGTTGTTGGATATGGCTAGTTCTTACCCTACCTCTAAATTTATGGGTATCGATCTGTTTCCACAATTTCCTTCGGAGGTTAAACCAAAGAATTGTGAATTTTTAACAGCCGACCTCTTGGAAGGCTTACCTTTTGGTAAGTAATGCAGATTTATTGTAAAATTTAGGATAAAATTTTTATCTTTTTTTGCATGAAATAGATGATGAAACATTTGATTTTGTACGCATGGGATTTTTAAATGTTTTTACCCAAAAAAGAATGGAACGAACAAGTAATCAAAGAATTGACAAGATTAACTAAGCCTGGAGGATTTGTTGAATTAATGGATGTACATATGCCAGCTAGAGATCTCCCCCCAAAAGCGAAAAAGATTTCTGATATGAGTGAGTAATATTGGGAAAATTTAAAATTTAAACAGAAAATGAATGTAACAACTAATACGATCTATTTATGATCTTGTTACGTTCAAAGTTATAGCTGAAATGGAACGTGATAACCTTTGGTGGGATGTCACATCACATTTCGAGTTTCTTCTCTCTTCCCAACTAAATCTAAGCGGTGTTACATCCCAGAAAAAAAAGCATGTAATAGTAGTCAAGGAAGATGATCAAGAAGGTGGTTTGTTTTTGGAGTATTTTGTGGGTATTTTGAAGATAGTTTATCCACAAATATCAAAGAAAACAAATATTAGCCCGGAGGTATTCTATAACGAATTTATGCCTAGAGTGATCGAAGAATTCAGCGCTAAAGAGCATAGTCCTTATATATTAACGGAAAGAGTCTTCGCACAAAAGATTGCATAAGATTTATATATATAGAGTTTGATGTAACATATGAAAAATTTTTATATTCAATTATGAATGCAAGAAAAATATATAAATCACATGAAATAACAAGATGATACATAGGTTATAAGATTACTCAATTAGATTTAGATTCTAGGTTCATCTTTTTTATTTATCCTTAATATAGTTCCTTATTCGAGAAACCTTATTTTTTTAATTCATAAGAGATACACAAAGTTCTTAATAAACACATAAACAGAACAAAAAAGCATTATTTTCTATCGAAATAAAACAAAACATGTTTAGCATCCTTTTTTCGTGGACACCAATTTTTCTCGCACATCTTTGATTAAAAATTCGCATTCGTCAACCAATGACATCGACATTCCATAACTTCGTAATGCACGCTCATACCAGTATAACGCGGCATCCAAATCTTGTCCTACACCGACGCCGAAATGATAGCATCGGCCTAATAATATTTTTATCGTGCCGGGAACACAAGGCCAACGATCACATGTCTCGGAAAGTATTTGAAAAGCTTTAACGTGATCCGGCTCGGTGCCGATACCATTCAAAAGATAAATGGCATATTGCGACTTGGCGCCCCAATAAGTATCACTCTCACTGGCTTTTTTGAATAAGTCAAGAGCTTCTTCATATGATGCGGTTGTTCCTAAGCCAATTGCTTTGCAGTTACCAGCAAGTTTCATGCCTTGTAGATCACCCATTTCGGCGAGCTTGACGTAAATCGAGTATGCTTTCTCGTTATCTTGCTGGGTGTTTGTTCCACGTCGTAAACAATAGGCATAATTGAACATTGCATCCTGATTTCTAGAGAATAAAAATTAATCAACCAATGGTTCTCCTGAGCGTGTAGATATTAAATAACATAATTCTCGTACCCTAGTTCTGCGGCTCTTTTGTAACAAGTTACAGCTCTTTCTTCGTCAATTTCTACTCCAATGCCTAAATGGTAACATATCCCTAATTGATTTAACGATGCGGCCATTGGATTCGGCTCGGCACATAACTTTGAATATATTGAAACTGCTTTTTTTTCATCCCTAATACAAGTATGGATGTCATGAATTTTGGTAAAAATTTTTTTATCAGAAAAATGTTCAAAAATAATCAGAGAGGATGAACTGTACTTTTCGACACCAACGCCATGTTGCAAACAATAAGCTTGTTGATGTTTTGCAGCTAAAGAACCGAGCGCTGAGGCAGCTGTAAATTTTGCGAATGCTAGTTCAGGTTTTCTGGGTGTTGCGTAATGGAGAAAAAAGTGTCCTTGTTGATATAGTGATTCGGCTTGTTCTTCACGAGAATCTAAAATGATTAATTTATCTTTGTCGAATTAATTTTACTTAATTGTATGATATAAAATGTTGGGACTATTGATAAAATTATTTAATTACCTTGAGAATCTATAATGGTTGCTGACATACTCTAAGTTCGATAATAATCGATTTATTAGGGAAAAGCAATCATTAAATACGAGATTATTTGATGTTACGGATCTAATTACCTGAGAGGTATTTATAGATGACATAGATGAGATAGTTTCGCCTAATGAATCAACCATCGAAAGAGCTAAAGAGTCCAATGATGGACGTGTGATATTCCTTCGTCTATTTGAATGTTGCATAAAATGATGGTGATAGCTGATTAGTTTTCGCTGCTTGCCTGATGTATTCATTTCAATAAAAGAATGTGTTTGGCTATTTAATCTATATTAACGGTCTGTTAATTTTTTTCTGTTTTTCCTAATTGGGAATAAATGCAAATTTTTTGCAATAATAAAAGAATGAAAAATTCTAGCTTTATTCGAGGTTTAACCAATTTCTATCTCATAAAGTGATATATTGAACTTTTTCTTTTATCATAGCGATAGTTTAGCTTATAGATGATTGTGTTTCCAGCGAATAATCAGGATCATTACAAGTATTTACTAATTAGAAACTATTATGTAATTGTATTCGAATAAACTCTTCTATGCCAAGTTCCATTCCTCACCTGCACAGTAGAGATTAATTAAATCCAATTGTTAAAAAAAAACCAATAGTCGATTACTTCATCTATGAAGGACATATGAGGATTTTACGAATCCAATTTGATGTCATACAACAAAAATAGTTTCGCAATCCAATCTCTGTAAAAAAAAAATTAACCAGGTAATTTTATCCGTGCTTTAATCATTTTTCTACGGAGAAAATTGTGGCCCTTGCGTGTGTAAAAAGAAGGTCATAAATGCCATAATAGGGTAGACTTGTGTAGAATGTCAGCAACCATATGGTGATGCATATTATAATGAGCTGATATTTGGCATTGAGTCTTAGTTTCAATGCAAATTACGCATAACGATAACATTTATTATTGAGGAGGTTATGCTAATGATTAGATAATCATAAATTTTTTTTCAACATCACTCCTTTAAAATTTCGTTTTGTCCGTTTAGCTTCATGTTTATCAAAGATAAAGTTAGATAAAATCTAAGCCAAGTACAAGGACAAGGCGCTCCTCCAATCAAAGCATTTTTTTCGTTAAGCTCAATTAATAATGGGAAGCATCATGAAAAGCCACATTTTTAATAAGTTTTTTCGCTTCATTTATATGGTTCGTGGTTTGGCCTGTAATCGCCAAAATATGAATGTTGTGATCTTAAATCTATTTTTATAAAAGTCAATAGAAAAAATTTTTTCCATCTTGTATCGTTAACACATACATCGGAATAATCGCAAAAATACGTAGCTACAAAGTAGTAAAGTAGTACCGGTACATTTAATTAATAAATAAACCTGAATATCGAGATCTACATGTACTTGATGGTTTTTCCTAACTTGAGAGGGTGCCTTTCTTGTTCTCCACACTTTTGTTTCATCAGTAAAATCATTTTCCTTTCTTGTTTATTCCTGGCTATGAGCAAAATTAAAGTTTACACTTTGAAACGGTAATATCAAAGGCATGTACTTTTTGCAGAGTATGGATTTGCGATACAAGTTTATGGAGAAAACTTAGCTAAGCCAGTAATTCTGCTTACATAATGTTAGACAAATAAGCTGAGATCGAACTGAACTCCAAAACTATCAATATCAAATATCGATATACGAGAATCTTGAAAGCAAAAACTTGGGATTATTAAAAATCATATGATTTTTAATTTCCTAGGAAAATCTCTTAATATATATGGTGCATGCAACAACAAGCCAAACAATTTTTTGTTTACCGTTGTAAATTGATCCAAGCATCCTTGTATGACAAATTAATGTTACATTGGACATCTGAGGTGCACTGTGCGCAATCATTTAAAAAAAACTTATATGCATAAAGCACATGATTTTTTTGGAAAAGTGAAAAGTTTCGCCGCCTTATTTCAGAATTTTCACATACATGTATTTGCTAATTATTAAGATACCAATAGTACGTATCTCCCCAGTTACTTTTTATCTTTTCAAAATAAATATGTAATTATATGCAGATCGCATATACATGAAGTAATCAAAACGAAATTAGAAATTAAACTGAAAAAACTTTAGGGAACAAACTAATGATAACGATCAGCTTATCAGTTATTTCGATTATTTCGAATCAAATATTAACAAACGAGAGCAGTAAATAGACATAGATACTTCACATATAAAAACATCAGAAATAATTTGAATTTTGAAACTCAATGAGAATATCCATCCTTACAAGTTTGATGTTTGCAAGTTCATTAGCTCGGCTTATAAAAAAATAAATATCTACAATATGTACATGTATAATGCATGTGTTACTCGTGAAACAAGAGCATAGACCACTGGCTAAAACGATAACAAATGTACAATCTATTACTATATATATCGAATTATTTATGAGGGGTTTTGTTTTAAAATATTGGTTTTACAAAATAAATGTATACAGTAATCTCTCGGCAAGTAGTACCCCAGGTCTTTTACATTCTAGACCCAAAGCCAATTAGGAAAGAAAACTACGGCGGATGCAACTTGGTCGCAGCAACTAAAATTTAAATTGCTACTTATTGTAAACTGGTAAATTTAGTCAAGCTAATTAAAGTTACGTTCTTAGATTCAATTCATATATATATGACTATAGCTGCTGTTATTAATTGATTGATCTATTGATTAATATTAAAATGATAAATAAAGTAATAAATTGTATTTTTATAAAGTGTAAATTTTTTATATTTATATATCAAGAGTCATAATAAATATTACTCACGATAGACAATATATTTTTTTGTATGTATGCACTGTAGAATCGGTTAATTATAGAGTATCTTTACAATTATAATAATTATACGTATGTAAAGCATGTTTGCATTTGTATATTAATCGCGCGCTGTTTTGAATACTAAGGTAACAAGAAATCTTAGATGATATCAAATCTTTTTATGTAAAACTGTTAATATGTCATGTTGCTGACAATTGCCAAAGTTGAGCCAAAACAAGAAAGAAAAACTTCTCCATACCATCCATAATTTGAAGCCAGATTAACTGGTTGATTAAAGACATGCATGCATGCTTCATTTAAAAATTATTAACCTTGATAGATATATAATCCTGATATCCGCATAGATATATATCCACATAGAAAAATTTGTCCAATCATTGAAAAACTAAATACATGTACAGGCCGAAAAAAATCAGCAGCATGTCGATCATCAGTACGAAAAAGGTGTTCATACTATTTCAATTATGACAATTGATCATGAAACACAACTTTACAGTCCGCACGAAATATGCATGTAATAGCAGACAGATTTTTAGCTGTGTGCATCTGCTTAGATGTGCATGAGATCACCTGATGACATACACTATATTTTTTCTGTCTTCTTGTCACCAGTATGCAATAATCAAAGAGGTTTGGAAGAACCTTTTGCTGCAATTCTGCAAAAATTTCTTAAATATTATACTCATATTTATTCTTTTAAATGCTATAAATATTTATCTTTACAAAAATACTCAAATTTCAATTATTCACTTTTTGAACGAGGCGCAGTACGCAATATGCATTTTGCGATGGTTTTCATAAAGCCTGGATCTCAATTTTATACATAATATAGATTATTACATGCAAAAGGTATTTTTGTTGTACCTGTGGAAGATACAATTTTGAGTAGTTCTTAGAGATATCATTCTTATGTCAAATTGCATTCAGATTTGCATTGATGCAGAGGCGAGGCATGCTGAATGCAAATATTTTAAAAGTATAAAACCCTATTTATAAATATTCTAAAAATAAATTTTATATTATACTTTTAAATTTTATTATTTTCTAAAAGCTATCTGTCATTACGTTCTGTGTGGACTGTAAGTTATATTTTAATTATTTCAAATTGGTAACATTCCCTGGTGAAACTCTCTGAAAAAATATTTATGAGAGCAATCGAGATGGATGAAAATAAATATTCTGGTGATTGTCCATATCGTATTAAAACCAAAATCTCCGCTCGTATGTTATTTATAAAGCGAATGCAGTAAAATGAATATTTAAAGGGAAAAACTAATTACTTTCTGGAGGATTAGCATCTCAACTCCAATCTTTGTATTTCATTATTTTTATTATGTAAATATGATCAAAGAATATAGGCTAGCTAAAATATGAAGAGAGCTGCTTACTTTCCATTATTGCTGAGAAATTGATAGCTTGAGAAACATTGATATTTCTTTGAGTTATCAGTTTAAAGGTTGTGGAATTAGTAATCCAAAAAATAGGACTGCAGATGTATTAACTTTTGATTTGAACAAGTGAGAGAGCTAGCAGTTAAAACATTAATTTTGAAGATGATGAAAATGAAGTTATTAATAATAAAAAATGTTGTTACTTATGAACGGAACTGTTTAAAGTTAAATTTGATATGCCGAGTATTTTAAAAATTATAAAGTGAGAACATAAATAATGAGAATTAAAAAAGCTTTGAATTGATTTTCAGTCAAAATTCAATAGATTAAATAAGAATAAGTTTGCTTATCGTTATTTAAGGCATAAAATCGTCCCCCCATATAATCATGCCCTTTTGAACAACAAAAAACATGACTCAAAGTTGTAACTGTATAGGGATTAAATTTTCTCTATATAATATCTGAACTAGGGAAAAGTGTGATTGTAGGGGTAGAGGAATGACCGTATTAGAAAGCTTTCCATAGTACGTAAATAGGAGTAAATAATCATATAATAACGATAAAGTTTTTGTATCTTTTGTATCAGAAAATTTATTAATTACTAATATTTACCAAAATTGAGAGAATTGTTTATAGATGGAGATTGCTAATATACAGCACTTTACGGTTTTATGTCTCCAATGTACAAGGGAGATAAAAAAAATGACTCATCCCAATATTTAAGAAGCAAATATCTGAAAATTTTGATCAGAGAATCTTTTCAAGATTTATTTACTAGTAATATTTTTCTCATTTATGTGAAGGAGTTAGAATAAAGTATACTCAATTAACGTGCTTTCATTCAAAATGCAACAATTTATGGATAATTAATTCATGAGTTACTTAAAAATAATCGATTTGTCCCTAACGCAAAATAATTTGATAAATTTTGCTGGGAAGAAGACTATTCATTTGGTTATTAATTCCTTCGACAAGCCTTGATTTGCGTTTGTTAAGGCTTATAATCTTGCGTGATTTGCGAATAAACCGTAAAACTTCTTACCGAAATATCTTCTTTTAATCTTTCCGCACGCCAAATTTGATAGTTTAAACATATCTTTATTTAAAAGCATGCTGATAAAATTTATAAATTGTTATTTTCATATAATAAATTTGATAATAATTTTTAATTTTTAAAAATTTAGTTCCTAACAAATTAATATTTATTGAAAATTTTAGTAACGTTACGTACACTTTAATTCCCGAGAATTGAAAAAAATATATCACAAGTTCTATATTTTGGCAAAAAACTTTTCCAAGTCTAGTAGATTTAAATTTTGACAGGCATTTAGTAAATAATCTCAACGAAAAAGAAAACCGAATACTTACGAATTAAAAAAATATCAAAAATGAAAATAACGAAGTTCATAAAATTCTGTTTGAATTTGTCTCTTCTTTTTAGGCAATCAAAGTTGATACAACCAATTCTTTCTATTATAAACTGGATAGACTGAATTCTGTTTGTGCTGTTAAAAATTCCAAGTTGTGATCCCATTATAGTAATAGTAGCAAGGATAATATTTACAACATAATTTAAAAATTATGGAGGCAAATTCGAATTTTGTTATTCTAATAAATTGAACCCGCGGAATGATTAACGAATCATACTTTGGTGTCACAATTAATTTTCAAGTCACATGCTTCTGCAAACGAGCGTTGTGAGCGTTGTACATGTAAAAAAATTAGCAGTCCGGAATTTTGGGAATCACGTGCGAATCGTCCAATTAAATCGTGGACAGGGCTTTGATTATGATGCTGTATAAATTTGATTAAAGTTATTAGTTCGATTCTAACAGACAATGGTACTATTGGGTAACTTAAGAAAAAATTTAAATCAATTTATTTTTTGTTTATTAATATAAAACCAAACTCAATGCAACGCCCCAACGTGACCACCATTGTAACCATTGCCAGGGGAAAATGGCATATATGCCGTCCCAGCCACAGAGCTCAATGGTGGCAAAGTCGGCGGGTGTTGCGTCAAGGTTTGTTGCCGAGAAAGGCTCCCATTATATGCGGCAAAAGCCGATATGCTTCGTTCTTGGTGTACCTCCGAAGCATCAACACCTGCTGAATTCGAATTTAACTCAATATCCATATTAGATGGTGGATCATCTGTGGTTGTTGCTGCATTCGGAGAGCTCATTACTTCATTGTCATTATTATGCTCATACCCATTATAATTTGGCAAAATAGCCGATGTAACCGAATGATTATCAGATATAGACGACGCCACTGAAGTTTTTCGATGCAGTCGACGTGCATTCTATTCATAATAATTTAATTGGTGAGACACATAATAGATAAATATACTTACTCTTGCAATATTTGTCAAATATCACACACCTTTGCTGGAGCGGTATAGTCTGAATTCAACTTGTAGAGAGTAAGGCCCACCTTAAGAACGCGACCTTTTTTAACAGCCTTGTGTAACGCCTGAGATGCTGAAGAGCGGAATTTAGAGTGTAACGGATAAGTACTGTAAATTGATAACGTTATGAGAGATGGTTTTTAACCAGATATATATATAATTCATGAACATCAAATATCTGACCTCTCCATTCGGTCAAATATAGCCTTTGGTGGGACACCATTTGGATCAGCAATAGCAGTTATTGCTTCAACAATCATTTCCTCGTAAGAGGGCAAATTAGCGGTAGTAGGACTAGGTAAAAGTGATTGTGGTGCCCTTATAGTGTTTGGCGAAGTGGATAAGGTTGTAAGACTAAAAGCGAAGGTTGAAGATTGTGGAGCTTGAATTAGAGTGGTGGATGGTGGAAGATGAGCGTGCATTGCTGAAGGTTGCTCTTGAGAGGTTGTGGACAAATAAGAATGATGTCGTGGGATTGAAAAAGATTTTTCATGCACCGGAGAGAATTGTGAAAGAAGATTTGACTGTACAGTCGATGCGCTTGGTGTGGGAGTCGGTGATATTGAACTACGTGCAGGGACTGATCCAAAAGATGAAGATAAATTTACATTTGATTGAGCTTCAATGGCTCGCGCTTGATCAGTAGAATCAATGACAACTTCTGGAACAGGATGAGAAAGTTGATCAACTATATCTTTGAAATTATGCGGATAAATAGGTAAATCAGGATGTAAAGTTTCCGCGAATAATAAAAGTTTGACTAAAGTATCGGATGACAGTGTTTGTAAATATTGTTTTTTCTATAGAAATTAATATTAAATATAAATTTTTTTTTATTTTCCGCGTAAATATGAAAAGAAACCTTACAAACACGTGATAGAATTATTTAATTGAATTCGGAAAAATACCTGTTCTTCGGTAAAGTTTTTCCCAGTTTCACCTGTAGACGGTTGATTTTCTGACGATTCAATTTTTCGCTTTTTATTTGCTTGTCTTTCATTCTCACATTTCAAACAATACCATGATGCATCCCTAACTTCCGTGACATAATCATCAATATTTGGTACATGACATTGTTGATGAAAAGGTGTATCACATGAATCACACAAAACTATACGATTATGCTTAGGCGATTGGCCTTCTTGGCATATGGAACACAGTACATCTTCGGCCACCACTGGGCTTGGCTCTCTCCGTTGACGTTTCGATGATCCTGAAAATTTTCAAATACCCATATTTTGATACAATCCAAATAGCATACAATAAATTCAAAAGATGATTGCTAGTTTATTTACCCGATGATTTAGTCGAGGATTTTTTTGTAGATTTGCTTGTTGTTTTATTTGTTGCTTTAGAACCTCGACTAGGTTTTGGTGCATTAGGTGAATAGTGAATTGGTTTTGACACCTTTCGCCCAAACTTTGTTATTAATTCTTTTTTTTTGGACGAAAAATTGAATTAGTTGTTGTATGCTAATTGAAAAACGCGATTTAAAAGATGGTAATGCAAACCTTCATGATGTGAACTTGACTGCTGTTGACTGATATTGCTCTCATTTGTAGTGAGGTTGACTTGAACAGAATTAAATTGATTAACACCAGCAGTATCATCATCCTGTATTGGTGGCGTTTCACTTTGTGCAACAACTTCAACATTAGTTGTTTCTGGAGGCGTCGGAAACGATGGAGTCGAACTTAGATTATTATTTACTTCCAGATTTGTATTGATGGTAGTATCTCGACTCGCTTGTGATGTAGGAGAAATATCATCTTCTAATTCAAAATCACCATCTTCATCACCCTAGTAGATAACAGACGTGAATACCCAAAAACCCATAAAATAAGACTCTGCAGCCGGAGCAAGCCAATGCAATCTCCTCCTAGAAACGCGTCGACTTACCCACTCCTCGCCATTCGCTCCACTCCCTTTAGATGTATTTGGCGATCGTGTTCCATTTGAATTGTTTGTGTAAGGCGAACGCGTATTTATCATTGAACGAGGCGTGTGTTGGTCACTCTCGCTTGTTTGTTGATCTGACTTGTCTGGAGTTTGAAGACCAGTTGTAGACTCAAAATCTGTTATAGATTTGTCGTTTGTCGACGATGTGAGCGCTGCTTCGGTCATGTTTCTTTTCTTTGCTTGTCAAAAATAGTAAGTTTTATTTCGAATTCTTACAAGATAGAATATTAGATATGTAAGTATAGCAACAAAAGTGGTAAAAATAATTAATATAAGGTTAAAAACTATAAACGCTTGTTTCTAATAATAAATGTTGTTATATAGAGAAAACTATTAATAGGTAAGAGACGTGAAGTTAATCTTTTTGCGCGGTTTGTGTTGTTGATTTCTTTTCATCTCATATGGGATAACTTCGCATTGTGAAACAAAAACTATTTCTTTTTGGTGAAGATTAAGACTCTGTGCATCAAAATTTACGCAATTATTACTACGGACACAGCCCATTTGTTGGATATTAACGGAAGTCTGTTTGTATGATCAAACATTTAGAAGTCCAATTTTATCGTTTCATAGAGTGAGCAAGTTTCGAAACTGAATGAGGAAATCTCTACTTCTCAGACTTCTCCGACCATTATTTCAAATTCTTCAAATGTACGGTGGGCTAAATAAATCAATGTTTTTGTCACTTTTGCCTGTCGTTTAAGTCAATGGTTTATTTTCAAGCTGGGAAAGGATGCTCAAAACCTTAATAAAGAAGTGATTATGCAAACGAGAGAGGTGAACCGGCACTTAGAATGTGAGCTTTTTTTACATTCAAGTAAAAATTGCCACTACCTAAAGATTGTCGGCGCTGATGATTCAAAACATTTTTGAATAAACCAATATCCGTTACTCTTAAGAACCCCGGATGAGCTGAGCCGAGCTTCGAAAAAGCTAACTAGAAGCATTGTTAACAAAAGTAAAAAGCGACGAGCAATAACTTCAAAGAAGAAAAAAGAAGAGGAGTTTTAGAACTCGGGTCAAGAACAAGAATCAAAGATTAAATCCATAATTGAGTTCTAAAATCAAAGGTTTCGTCTAAATAATACGTGTGTAAACTCTAGTTATAAATCAAATTGAATATTAAATAAATATAACATATTCAGTAGGACGCCTGATACAGTAAATCGATACATCTCATTTCACTTTATTTTCAATTAAAAGGGCGTGAAGTTTAAGACATCGACCCCCGACTTCAAGGTCTTTCCGCAGGCGCAAGATAAGATCACTTTTTCTCACCTTTAGTTTGCACAATTTTTTTTTCTTTTTAAATATAAAGGTGGCGTATGCAAATACCAAGCAAATTATGTATAATATGATTTGCTTGATTTTTTAATGACGCCCTTCTCGTATTATTTGCTTGGGGATCAGAAAAACTTCAATTGAATAGTTTCTATAGAAGATGGAAGAAAAGATGATCATGCGTTTGTATTCAGAGCGTGAAGATATTTTCAAACAAAAGAAGGTGGATTTAGAATAAAAACATAACTTTTATCAGAATTCGCGTCAACAATTAATTTTTCTTGTATTTGGTAAACAATCCACAACTTCGGCCCTTGATAGTCATAGTGTATAAGCTTCGACAAAATTTTCAAACTGGAATCCAAGTGTTTTACGCGAACAACTAATTCGTATATATGACGAGTACATTATAAGTTTAATAATTTTCAAATATTAATTAGGCTTATATATATATACGATTAACCTTATTTTCTAAATGTTTATCAAGGTGCACCGCTTGATCCGAGAGACATTCTCTATTATTAATGTATAGGGTGTGGAATCCCTTTCGTTGATTCTTCACTGAAATTCTTCATCGAATCCTTCCTAAGACAAAGTATTAAAATATTAGTTGCGTGTCACAGTGAGTTCACCTAATCGGCCAAAATTTTAAACCTGACCTACTCAATATAATAATAATTTTAATATTGATCGAGTTTTTCCAGCTCAAAAATGAGTTTTAGTTTAGCAATCATCACAATTTGTAACACATGTATTTAAAAAGAAATTATTGATACGATTGGTTGCTTCATAAAGTGTAGTCAACTATTCATTTTTTCCAATCGTATTATCTGTGTCATGTATCACATGTATATATAAAATAAACACTCGCTATATGAGTGAATATACGATAAGAAAAACGATATTTCATAAATTATTATGCATATATGTATTCTTGTTTTGAAAAATTGAATACGAAGTTTCTCTAGAAATGTAGAAACGATACAATTAAAAAAAAAAATGAAAAGGAATCCACTTAAGACGTCGTCGTTAGTGTAGCATTTGCAAAAAAAGTTTATATTTGTTCATTGATTTCATTCTCAAATTAGTCTTTAAAGATTTAATGTTAAAAAAAATGCCAGACAAATGCCGGATAGTTCTTCATTCTTGATTATTTGTTCATACGCAGAGGTTTTAGATGCTTTAAAGGTATCAACAACAAATTTTTGAAGCATCCTTCTAAGAATTGAGCAATCAAATACTCGTTTATTGTGAGTTTCCAAAAACAAATTTTTGAAATCCATTTCATTTACAAGTATGTATTTGTGTCATCTCATTGTTGATTCTTTAAGGTTAAATTTTTCGTCTTTACGTCAAAACATTCACGTTGAATTCAACTCCGATTACAAGTTTGAATGGATGACCTGCGCTTATGTAAAAATTTCGTATATTAAATCTAGTAAACTTTTTCAAACATGAATTTCAGGAAAAGATTAAATCCGGATTATTTATTCTCTTTAGAAATACTTGTGTATTTTTCCTGCAATTGCGATAAGATTTAATCGCTATTGTGCAAACGCAGCACATAGCTCGTTAGAAAGCTGAAATCGTAAGCTCTCAAACGACGTAAAAAAATATGTCAAACCCAACCAACATTCGCAGAAATTGCCAACTTACGGATTTGAGCGTGGAGAGATAGTTTATGCTTGGAAGTGTGTTTTTTCGAAAAAGAACCACTAGACGTTACACAAGAGTTTTGCCGAGCCACCACGAATAATATTGCTAGAGCTGTCCGAAGAGTAGTTAAAATTGTAAAAGAAAAACAACAAGAAGCAATTGACGAGCTTACCGAAAAATTCAATACTGCTTTGGAAATTTCGGTTAGTTCTAAAACCATCCTCATGAAAATGTGTTTTTTTAGTTGGCTGGACTAAGAAAGCCTTTTATATCCGAGGAAAACGATTGAAATGGTGTCTAGAGCGAAAAGGTTGGGGTTCTTGAATATTTAAGATTCAGGAATGATTCGATCCCATGAAAAATATGACGATGATTGTCTTCTTCCTAGTATGAATATGGGTTGTTTTACTCAAAGTGCACTTAGACCACGAAGGTATAACAACCGGTCAAAAATATGCAGAAATACTTGGACAGCGTCTTAAACCATTTTTAGATGAAACTACCAGCTAGTTCTGTTCATTTTTTTAAAGATGATAATATTCCAGTCAGAAAACATCCGATTAATGAGTTAAAAGAGAGAAATCTAATAACTTCACTTCTATGGCCTGACCGGAGTCCTATCCAAATCCAATTGAGCATTTATTGGATGAATAATTCGTGCACGACCAACTCATCCCAAAAATCAATGATGCACTCGCAGAGGAATGGGAAGAAATTGTGCCGGAAATTTTAAAAAGTTTGGTTGAATGTATGCAAGAAGAATGCAAGCTGTAATTGACGCCAACCCGATATGTACGAATAACCCTACTTTTGCCTAAATATTTTTTTATTGTGGTTTATTTAAAGAGAAATTAAGCTTTTTCACCAATATATTCTATCTTCATTATTATTAAACCAAATCGATATCACTAATGTCTTTTCTAAAAGATTGTCAAGGTAATAAAATTATTACTTTTTTGTCCGTCTCACTTTTCCCTCTTTCCTCATTTGCTATCGGCGCTTTTCGGTTAAAAAGTAAGTAATAAAGCTACTAAACATTTTTTCTATATATTGTTGTTTCCTTCTCTGCTGCCATCACCTTAATGTGAAATTGAAAAGGGTTAGTAGTATTTTTAACTTCTACAATTCAATTACTTGCCTTTTTCTTGTGCTCTTTCCTTGTTTTTTGCTCTCTTTGTTCTTGTTTTTATCTTCTCCTTTGCAGTTTCTGTTTTCTTTTCCTTTGATCTTTCTCTTCAACACTTTTGTGTTCCTTTTGCTGCTATCGCCATTTTCAATCGTCTTAATTAGATAGTAATTTTAATTTCTAAAATTGTTTACATTTTTTATTATTTCTTCGTCTCATTCTCCTTGTTTTTCTCCTTTGTAACTATCTTCGTCTCTTCGTTATCATCTGAAATAACCACCTAGCTTAGTGCCTTTTGCATCCAAATTCCGTAGATGATTCAAAAATCGATAAGGTAGTATTTGCTATCTCAAGTGAGAGCAATATCCTACTTTCTTCTTTCCATGTATCTGCACTAAGAAACTTGACATCTTATCGGATACCTTGTGTCGTTAGTTTAGGCAAGGAAAGATTGCCACAAAGACATCTCCATCTGGCACACGACTCTACAGCATCTCCTTTCTTTCACAATGAGAGTGCTGAAACAGGCAAGTGCAAAAGAAAAGCGACAGCAGCTCGTCGCAAATGTCAAAAAAGGAAAATACTTTCAATTGCACGATATCAATCGTGGTGAATGGGCTTAATTAGATTTGTATAAAATACTGTTGTTCGCTGTAATTGATGCCACTGTTTTTTATACTAAAGACTGTCATACTGATTTATGGAGCGAATTTGGATTAAGCCTCGATCCCTTAAAGACAGGCAGATGCAAAACTCCAAAGCTGCACTATGGGCGGCTGCAAATTTTTACGAGCTGTTGCTCGTCTTGATATGTTATTTCGGGCACACATGACATGGCATCTGCTAACACTATTGATGAGGCTATCGATGAGGCATTAGTGCCAGAGACAAAATCATTAAGCGCTATACAAATCAACAAGGTTTAAAGTCGCAAGATTTACATCAAACGCTTATTAAGTCTATTTGGGATCTTATATATAGTTATACAAACTTCATTCATTTTAATTGATTTGAAATCAATTTTTTAATTTACTTATTTAATTAATGTACAAGAATATAGATATACCCTGGACTCTTCACTTTGAAAAAAAATGCAAATCTAATA